TCCTCACTTGGAGATAACAGTCATGATTATGTCACAGGATTGTCACAATATCAAATTAGTTAATATAAGTGACCTGCCCAATGTCTGCTAAATAGCATTCAGTGTTAGTCATTATTGTTAACTGAATAATAATTAGAAAAATATAAGTAAGCAATTAGAGTATATTATCCACGTTCCTAGTGCCCATAATTACAATTGACCCTAGAGAGAAAGAGAGAAACAAAAAAACGAAATCTTACTGTGGATACTATTTGATAGCTTGCATTTTTCACCTAAAAATAATCTGCAATAAACATAATTGTAGCAAAACTTTTGTGCCCAGCTTTAATAATTTCCTAATAAATTTCTAAGACTGAAATTGATGGCTTTAAGTATATATGCATTATGAAAGTGTTTGCCAAAATGTCTTACAATTTTTAAAATCAATTTACATTTTTATCAATCTTGTATGAAACTTTTCACTTTACTAACATTAACATCTAGTGTGATAAATTTCAAAAATATGATACAAAGATTATGCACATGTTGTATTACTGATCATGTTGAACATTATCATTTGCATGTTGCCATTTGTTTATATTTATATACGACTATGTCCTTTGCCTTTTCCTTATTGACTTGTAAGAACTTTTTATATGAGAATATTAATGTCTTTTCTGACATACATGTTGCAATATTCCTCCTTTGCATGTTGTAAATTAATATTGATAATATGCATTTTTCTTAGTGGCATATAAAGCATTTGTTTCATCTCTACTTTAATATGAGAAATATCAAGCCAATTGCCAGAAAAATTTCTCAAGTTTTTCTTCTCATTTACTAATTGTTATCTGAATTATCCATGCTGTGTTCCCTGTCTCCAATAGATTTTTAAATTGAGTGATTTTTTTTTTCTGAAAGTAGTCTTTCCCACTCATATTTGTTCCCTTTACATAGATGCACCAACCTCTTGAATCTCATTGAAAATATGAATTAGGTAGTTTCTATAATGTTCTCTCTTTTGGCAGCAGTTTTATTTCATGGGAAGTACTTCGATTCTGCATTGTTTCTATTTAAATGACTAAATTTTTCACACATCCTATTGTCCTTATTTGCCCATCCTTATAGAAGGCTAAGCACAGAAACGACAAGTGTCTTTGTTCTAAGCTTTCATACCTGGATAAAGGGAGACAGGAGTCTTTTGTATTTTTTGGAATTCTGTTGTGTCAGATCAGGAGTCCCGTTCCTGACATTAGGACAGGGCTACTGCAGTGAACACAGGTGCCTAACAGGCAGCCCTGGTGCCAGATGGAGACCCACCTTCCCCACGTTGGTTCTGTGTATCTCAAAGTCAGAAGGACTCCTGTTCCTCTCTGAAGGGCCACACGTGTGCTATTTGGAGGCAGTAGTGGCAATGTTCTTCACTCACTCTGTGGCATACTGGCCTCCATGAACACATGCTATGGCACCATGCCCCTGCCCGCTGCTCCAGACACTGAGGTCTCTCCTCCTGCCTATGAATGGGAATCAGCAACCCTCATCAGTCCCTGATGGTCTCAGCCAGGGTCGTTACTGGGCTCTGTTGGGGCACCTTTTACGAATGACAGTATCTGTGTTTTCCCAAGTGTGAGACTCCAAATACTCCAGATCGTTCATAGGCAGGGCATAAATAATATTGAATTGTGCCCGAGAAAGGAATTCTTTTGTCAGCGTTCTTTCAATTCTTCAGATTATGGCAAAGAGAAACTCTCAGAGGGCTCAGGTATACCTTAACCCTCTAACACTTGCTCTTTGCTGATCTCCCATTAAAAAGGGGTCGGGGCAGGCTTTAGGTTGAGAGCCTTTGGTAAGCAACGTCATCCACTTGCACTTGCATAACATTGATTTGCATTTCTTTCTTTCTTTCTTTCTTTTCTTTTCTTTTCTTTTGTTTTCCTTTCTTGTCTTTTCTTTTCTTTTCTTTTCTTTTCTTTTCTTTCCTCTCACTCTGTCACCAGGCTGGAGTGCAGTGGCATGATCTCTGCTCACTGCAACTTCTGCCTCCCAGGTTCAAGTGATTCTCCTGCCTTAGCCTCCTCAGTAGCTGGAACTACAGGCACATACCACCATGCCCGGCTAATTTTTTTGCATTTTTTGTAGAGGCCGGGTTTCACCCTGTTGGCCATGCTGGTCTCAATCTCCTGACTTCATGATCCGTCCGCCTTGATCTCCCAAAGTGCTGGGATTACAGGTGTGAGCCACCATACCCGGCCTTTTTCCTTTTCTTTTCTTTTTCTTTTTCTTTTTTTTTTAAGAGAGACAGGGTCTTGCTCTGTCATCCAGGCTGGAATGTAATAGCGGAATAATAGCTCACTGGAGCTTTGAACTTCTGGATTCAAGTGGTTCTCCTACCTCAGCTTCCCAAGTAGCTGGGACTACTGGTGTGCGCCACCATACCCAGGTAAATTTTTTTATTTTTTGTAGAGACAGGGTCTGTGTTGCCCAAGCTGATCTTGGACTCCTGGTCTCAAGTGATCCTCCCACCTCAGCCTCTCAAAGTGCTAGGATGACAGGCGTGAGCCACCACCAGCACCTATTTTTTTAAAAAAACAATTATTTTCTGCTTGTAACAAGTGATTTTGAGTTTCCTTCCAAGGAAGAAATAAAAAATGTTCTTTAAAATTAAATTTATTATTTAAAAAACAGCTGGGTGTGGTGGCTCACACCTGTAATCCCAGCACTTTGGGAGGCCGAGGCGGGTGGATCACGAGGTCAAGAGATTGAGACCATCCTGGTCAACATGGTGAAACCCCGTCTCTACTAAAAATACAAAAAATTAGCTGGGCATGGTGGCGCGTGCCTGTAATCCCAGCTACTCAGGAGGCTGAGGCAGGAGAATTGCCTGAACCCAGGAGGCGGAGGTTGCGGTGAGCTGAGATCACGCCATTGCAGTCCAGCCTGGGTAACAAGAATGAAACAAAAACCAAAAAACAACAACAAAAAAAAACCAGATATTTCAATGCTGATATACAGATCTAGCAAAATCCACAAAGGTAGTATCTGAATGGATAAAGTTAACCGAACAGGGCTCTGCTTTCTCTTTCTACTATTTTCATTTGTAGGAATCCTTGCTGTGTGGATAGCACCCTTCTCGATTTCCAGCAAAGATACAGATGCTCTCTTGTTTTTGTATTTCTTTTGGTAATTTCCATGGAAATTTGGAAGAAAATTTGGAATATTAAATGTGGGGGCATAGAGGCTCAAATTGTCTTCTCTGCTTTGAATCACCTAGCCCATTTTTGGAAGCTGCTTAAGAAGATTTGTGAATGGAGACAAAACATTGGGATGAAAATTTTAAACTTTGGTTAGGAATGATCTTTGAGAGCAAGGCGTTTTGGGGTCTTTTTTCTCCCCCACTGATTCAAATGCTTTTAGAATGTCCCTTTTCCTTCCTCACACTCATTTCATCCTCTGGCTAGCTGGAAAAATATTTGTGCTCAAGAAACAAACTGAAGCCCATGCTTGTTATTATCATAATAGTAGCTGGGCATGGTGGCATGTGCCTATAATCTCAGCTACTTGGGAGGCTGAGGCAGGAGGATTGCTTGAGCCCAGGAGTGCAAGACTGGCCTGGGCAATATAGCAAGACCCCATCTCTGAAAAAAAAAAAAAAAGAAAGAAAGAAAGAAAAAAGAAAACGAAAACCAGCCAGGTGTGGTGGCACGTGCCCTTAGTCTCAGCTAATTGAAAGCTGAGGCAGGAGATTGCTTGAGCCCAGGTGGTCAAAGCTACACTGAGCTATGATTGTACCACTGCACTCCAGCCTTGGTGACAGAGCAAGACCCTGTCTCTCAAATAATAATGATAATAATGACATTAGTCACAGGAATAATAATCATGATGATACCACTAATTGAACACATGCTGAATGCAAATGCTGCTTATCATTTTACATGCATCATTACATTTCTATTTTACAAGAATTCTTTGAAAAAGGAATTTGTATTCCAATTTATAGTTGAAAAAAACAAAGGCCCAGAAAGGCTAACCAGCCTGTCTAGGGTTATGAGATGAGATTTGTACCCAGGCATAGTTTGACTCCAGGTCTTGTGCACTTAACTACTAAAGGATGCTGTTTCTCCAGAGGCTGACTACAGCACACTTGGGGCAAGCTTCTGCAGAGAAAAACAGCATCACGAAGTAAAGTCCATGGTCATCTATATGCGGTTGAGTGCCAGGATGGCAAGGTGGCACCCTATGTAGGTGAAAGGGAGAAAGGCTGGAAAGCATGACAAGAATGTATTTACAGCCAGGCGGTGGGGTTTACAGCTGGAATTACAGACAGACAGCTCCTGACTGTAATCCCTGCAATTTGGGACGATAGGGTGAGAAGATCACTTGAGGCCAGGAGTTCAAGACTAGTCTGGGAAACATAGCCAGATCCCATAACTACAAAAAAAATTTTTTTTTTTTAATTAGTGGGCCTGGTGGCACATGCCTATAGTCCCAGCTACTAAGGAAGCTGAGGCAGGAGGATCGCTTGAACCCAGGAGTTCGAGGCTGCAGTGAGCTGTGATTGCACTGTTGCACTCCAACCTGGGTGACAGAGTGAAACTCTATCTCTAAAAACAACAACAACAAAAACATTTCTATTGTGGGATCTTCGTAGCCTTCTTTCAGAATAAGAAACTGCTTAATGGGCAAAAATAGGTAAAAACATATACGGTACTTTAATGATATTATGAAGACTGTGTAAGTGTATGTAGAGAGAGCGAACTTTGCCTCCTACATACATAGGATATATATATATATTTTCCTGTTGTCCATGGAAGAGTTACAAAACTACGTAGTGTACCTGGCTATAAACCTACACACACTACCCCCACCCGACATACCTGAAACCAAAGCAAAACAAACCAAACAACCCTCACCATATATTTTTTGAAGTAGAGCTTTTTATAGGCCTCCTTTTCATATCCTGATCAATAAAATAATGTCGAGTAGAGTCATGAAATTTGTCCTGCCCTCTTGTCTCCCTCTAGGTTTAAGTTACTGAGCCAGGAAGAAGGCGAGTACTTCAACGTGCCTGTCCCACCAGAAGGAAGTGAGGGCAATGAAGAGCTGCGGCAGAAATTTGAGGTGAGGTTTCTCTTCTTTTTCGCTTCTTTTTTTCTCTTTGTTTTTTTCCTTCCTTCCTCTCTCTTCTCTCTTTCTCTCTCAATCTTTCTTTTTTTATTTTTTCTCTCTCCTTCCTTCTCCTTTCCTTCCTTCCTTTCTTTGTTTCTCTTTTTTTCTTTTCTTTTTGCTTGCTTTTCTTTCTTTCTTCTTTCTTTCTTTCCTGCTTTCTTTCTCGCTTTCCTTCTTTCTTTCTCTCTTTCTTTCTCTTTCTTTCTCCTTCCTCTGTCTCTTCATTCTTTCTCCCCTTTCTTTCTCCCTCTCTTTCATCTCTCTCTCTCTTCTTATCTCCGTTCTTTCATCAATGGGAACCAGTTAAGTTTGCTGCTGTGCTAATTTTCCTGTTTAGGGCATGGTTCCTACCAAGATTTTTCATGACTCTGAGCCTTTGCAAGGTCATTTCATCTCCTAGAAAATTCTGATTCATCCTTCAAGACCCCAATTAAATGCCTTTGCCTTATGAAGTTATTCCTGCTTCAGACTTAGACGTTTCTCACTCACTGCCCAGCATTTTGATGGTAACTTGGACTGGAATGGTAGTCATGGTGAATGAAAGAAGTAGACAGAAGGCCGGGTGCATTGGCTCATGCCTGTGATCCCAGTACTTTGAGAGACTGAGGCAGGCAGATCACTTGAGGTCAGAAGTTCGATACAAGCCTGGCCAGTATGGTTAAAGCCCATCTCTACTAAAAATATAAAAAAAAGTAGCCAGGCATGGTGGTGCATACTTGTAATCCCAGCTACTTGGGAGGTTGAGGCACAAGAATTGCTCCAGGTGACAGAGACTGCAGTGAGCCAAGATTGCGCAACTGCAGCAGTCTGGGCAATAGAGCCAGATTTCATCTCACAAACAAACAAACAAACAAAAGAAAAACAAGACAGAGAAGTGATACATTTTGGAGGCTGAGTCTGCTAGGCTTGCTGATGGATGAATCCGGATTGGCTGTATTGACAGAGTGGTGCTGTGTAGTTAACGAGTGGAATTGATTGTGCTAATGACTTCATGAAATACCCTGTGGGTAGATCTTCCCAGAGAATAGTTTTATCAAATGGAAAACTCTTGGCTGTGACCTTAAGTCACATTCCTGGCTCTGCTCTTACCTGAGACAAACTCCTTTCCTTCTATGGGGACAAGTAAACATCATTTTCAGCTACATAAGAGCAGCAGGTGTATAGTACACATCCCGGCTTTACAAAGAAAATGTTTGGGGGGATATAGGCTTGAGTACTTACATTATATGTGTATTGAGTGATTTTAAAGTAGTTTCCTGAGGGAAAACACATTATTTTGTTCCCACAAACTCAATACACTGAGTCTGGTGGGAGATGATCAATTCTAGATAAGCAATGATGGCCTACTAATCCCCCCTCCAAATGTATGTAATAGCATAGCTAAAGTGAAATATGAATTTTTATTATTATTTGTCAAATAATCACACAAACACATTTTAAAAATGTATAAAGACCATATAAAGTCCTGTGAAAGAGACATCAGGTGCCTTGAGAACATGTACAAGAGAAACGTCATGTAGTTTGAAAGGACAGGGGAGGTGTCAGGGAAGAAACAGTCATGGAACTTTACCACGTAAAAAGTGGGGAGAGTGTATTCCATTCTGCAAACAGCGTGTGCAAAAGCCCTGTGGTGGGGGGGTCATATAATAACCATGTAAGACCAAAAGCAGACCAGCGTGGGCAGAGTAGAGAGAGCTAAAGGGAGTCCAAGGAAAGGCTGGGGAAGTATGCATGGGTCAGAGGACGCAGGACCATGCTGGCCTTGACAAGGGTTTTAGCACTTACCTCAAGAGTGTTTATTTATCTCAAGGATTTTAGCATGTATCCCAAGAGTATTTGTCCCAGTAATTTTAGCATTTATCCCAAGAGCATTTATCTTAAGAGTATTTATCCCAAGGATTTTAGCATTTATCTCAAGAGTATCTTTCCCAAGAGTATTTATCCCAAGAGTATTTACCCCAAGGATTTTAGCATTTATCGCAAGAGCATTCCTGCCAAGAGCCCAGTGACCACATGTGGTTTATTTCAGTGCGTCAGAGTTGGTTGGCTCTGTTTGGTTACCAGGCGTTGAGTTCTAGGGATCTAAATTCCCGACATGGAAAGGTAGCCATTAGTGTATTCCTGTTTCTGAAGGCACATCCTACCCATCAAGATAAAGGATGAGTTTGTTTGTTTGTTGAAATAAACAAACTTTCTATCAAGTTTGTTTTCCCCTCAACTTCTTAGAAATAGCACTTAGGGGCCAGGCATGGTGACTCACACCTATAATCCCAGCACTGTGGGAGGCCAAGGCAGGAGGATTGCTTGAGCCCAGGAGTTCGAGACCAGCCTGGGCAACATATGACCCCACCTCCATTATTTAAAAAAAGAAATGAAATTATTTTTAAAAAAGAAAAAAGAAATAGCACTTAGGTATTCCCAAATTCCTTGTCTTGAGCCCGTGCCCTCCTCACTTGAAGGCAGTGATAGTTCTGACCCGCTTGGATCCTCCCTTCCTGGAAACAAGTGGAACAGACACGTTGGCCTTGAGCTTGTCAGTCATTCTCCAGTGACCTTGATAGCAGAGGCTTGTTCCCACAGTCTTGGACTCAAGCCCAAGTGGATTGACAAAAGAACCTTCCCTCCAAGTAGAACTAAAAACTGGATGCTGTTTGATAAAAATTAAGACAGGAAGGCAGTCCTTCCAGAGAACACTTTCCATCTCTTTCCCCTAACTTGCTGATGAAGTGGTGTCGCTTTACTGCTGTGTTATAAAAACGTACTATTACGGGTGAAAAACACAAGGCAAGTATTTTCTTGTATACAACGAAGTCTTTGTTTTGCAAAATGATTTCTTCTGTCCTGGGGCAGCCAGGGTGACGTTTCAGAACACCAGGGAAAAGATTTTCTACACAAACAGAGCATTTGTCTGGGCCAGTAATTGGCTTGGAATAGCGGACTGTTTTATCCGCATGCAACAAATTGTGTCTCTTTATTTCTAGCAAGAGCCTGCAAATACTTGTTTATGCTTGAATTATAATCGTTCTGTACTGTAGTTGTTGATTTAAAAAAATGTTTCCAACAGACCGAAAATTGTTCTCAGGCTCACAGAGGAATTTCAGTTGACCTTGAATGTGAGAAATGTAATCCCTGTGCAATAACCAATTAGCACCCGGAATGACTCAGAAATTACTTTCAAGCCTCTTATCTGGAGGAATTCTGAGTGACAGTAAAATCGAGCTGCTAGAATTGGAGTAATAGAATTTCATGGTAGTGTGAGCTTGGTGCAGTTACCACACGTGGTATATTTCAGAGCGTCAGAGTTCGCTCTGGTTGGTTGGGGAGCTTTCAGCCGACCATGGGCTTGAGAAGAGAAGTCTCCGTTTTAGATGGTTCACATGGGATTTCTTAGAGTCTTAAAATTTATTTATTTAACGAAGTGCTAACTTGGTGTCATTCATTATTCTAAGTGCTTTGCAAATATTAACTCAGGTAATTTAATCCCTACAACATCCTGGAATGATCAGAACGATCATTTTACTTTTACAAGTGAAGAAATTGAGGCTCAGAGAGGATTCAGTAACTTTTCAAGGTCCCAGAGCCAGCCATGTCCTGGGTTTGAGTTTTCCCAGGAACAGACTGTAAGGATTCAAGGGCAAGTTCATTATTTGGGAGGTGATCCTGGAAGCACCTCCCAAATAAGGAAGCATTGCCAGAAAAGGTGGGAAGCCAGGAAAGTAAGTATTATAGAGCAGGCTACTGCTGTGGGCAACTAGAGTTTAACCCTGCTGGAGAACTCTCAGAGTCAGCACAGAATGCATGCCTCAGAATTTCTCAGTCAAGGGACAGGAAGCTGAGGGGTTATCTGTAAGCTCCCTGTCCATTGTAGGCTAAGGGCTGCTCCAGGGAAATCCGCTCACCAGCACTTTCAATGTGCTCTGTGCGCTGTGCCTGCTCCTACAACCAGAAAACAAGCTGCAGGCAAAGAATCACAAGTGTTTGCTGTTGGCAGCCCTAGGTGTAGAGAGCAGCGTGCTGATGGGGTCTCGGAAGAATACCAGTCATCATATCTATGCAATGTAGCCTAATGGTTAAGTGTGATGTCTTGAGAGCTAGACTGCCTAGATTTGAATTCCAATTCTGCCACTTCCTTGCTGAATGGCTGTAAGCAAGTTGCTTTGTCTCTCTGAGCTTCTGGTTCCCTACCTGTAAAATGGGGAATTATAGCACTTCTTACCTCATGAGGTTATGTGAGGATTGAATGAGGTAATGCATTTAGCAGAATGTCTCACACGTTATATGCATCCAGATGTTAGATTCTAGCATCATGATAGTTATAATTATCGGCTCCCCCTTTGGGATAAATAAAGATCAGAACATCCTCTTTCTGGGCTTTGGAAGGGCTACTTAGAGGTTAGGGAGTATCTATAGGGACTCCTAGCCTAGAGTCCTTGCCCCATTGCTGGGTAGCTGAGAGTACCTGTAGTCGTTCCTTGTAGGGGTGGAGTGGCAGAGGAATCTGCAGATTTAGTCAGGACAGGGATTCATCATCTGGAGTAGAGCCCGGAGCCTGGATGCCGAGGCTCCTCCACTGTCACATCGTGCTATCCGGAAGGTGGCTTGGCTCTTTGCTCAGAAATGCTCTCTGTTTGCTTTCTCGCTTAGCGTTGAGTTCTAGGGCTCTAAATTGCTGACATGAAAAGGTAACCGTTAGTGTATTTCTGTTTCTGAAAGCACATCCTACCCAGCAAGATAAAGACAGAATTTAATTTGGGCCTCAATTTTAAAATGTTTGCTCGGCCAGGCGCGGTGGCTTACACCTGTAATCCCAACACTTTGGGAGGTCGAGGCAGGCAGATCATGAGGTCAAGAGATCGAGACCATCCTGGCCAACATGGTGAAACCCCGTCTCTACTAAAAAAATAAAAAAAATTAGCTGGGCCTGGTGGCACATGCCTATAGTCCCAGCTACT